GGGTGGGGGGGGGCTGTCGCTGAAGGCATATGAGGGGCTGGGCCAGGTCTGTTTCTTTGGCGCTGGCCACCACCCACCCCTCACCAGCCTGGAGGCTGGAGGGAAAACCCAGCACCCCTCCCGCAGCCAGCGTTCTCCAAAGGGGCAGCTGGGAGTGAACTTGCCGGGAAGGAGGACCTCCTCCACTGGCCAAGCAGCACCCTTTCTCAGGACCCGGAATGTTGATCCTGGCTGACTGCCCACCCCGGGGAGACAGGGTTACTGCCTTCAAATACCTGAGCGTCTGTCCTGGGGAAACAGGTCTGCTCCGTGTGGCCAATGAGGGGTGCACCAGCACCAGCGCAGGGTGGGGGGTGGGAAGGGGTGAGGGGTGCACCACCAGGGGCAGGCTGATCCCGGCTGTCCCAGAAAGAACTTCCCAACAGCCAAGGCTGCCCAGAGCTGGCCCAGGGTGCGTCTGAAGGTGATAAGGATCCTGTCATTGCTGGTGGCCAGGCAGAAGCTGGAGGCCAGGAAACTTCAGTGTTGAGATGCCAGCTCTCAGCGGGCCGGAGCCACACAGAGGAGTCGAGGTCCCACACGGGAGTGAGGAGAGGTCCAGGAGTGGGGCGAGGGGGCACAAGCCCCTGTCCCCTCCTCTGTGTTCTCTATGTAGTCTGTTTGAATCTCCTCCCCAGGGAAGGCCCAGCCCACTTCAGCCTTGGCCACCATGGCTGGCCTAGCTCCTCTGAGACATGAGTGGTCCAGCAAGCTGATCAAGGAGGAGACTGGGCTTGCCCCCCATCTTGCCCCTTGGGAAACTCTGGTCTAGGCACTGAGCCCCTATGGAGGGTGAGTGACAAGGAAGGGAGGGCCTCTGTCTCCCAGCCTGGCCGGGCTAAGGGCCCCCACTTGCTCCAGGCCACCCCACCAGGCAGAGCCAGCTGCTTCTCTGCCTTAGCAATCCTCCAAGAGACGAAGGCCTTGGGCTTTCTCTGCCCTTGGTTGCCCTCTGCGGCTAGACCCTCACCTCCCTTGGGCTCTAGGAGGATTAAGTCGGCGGCTAGCTGGAGGAAACCAGGTGATGGGCCCAGAGAGGAAGGAAAGGCGGAACCAGGACATCTTTCCACCCAAACAGGTTTCAATGTAATCCAGGATTAAAGGGAGAGGGGGCTGCAAAGAAGAGGGACTGGAGGTCAAGGCAGGGTGCCAGGAGAAGGTGACGGTCAAAAGGGTTTTCACATTACTCCACCCCCCTGGGACCCAGGTGCCCTAGTTCCATACACATGCTCACGCCCATAAGGTTCCAGGCTCCTCCTCCCCTTTGGAGAAGAGTGTGTGCTAAGGCCGAGGTTGAACGTGAGCCTGGAGCCCCCAGCCCCGCGATGGAGACCCCACCCTGGCCTGGGTACAGGCATCGCTGCTTAAGCTGACTTCCCACTGGAGCTGCCGAGGGCTGGGCTGCCCCGGAGCTGAGGCATCGCACGGAGACAGGTGCCTGGCCCCCGCCTCTCCCGGCTGCCACTCATCCAGGATGGGGGCCTGGCTTCCCCTGGGCAGTCTCTGCTGGGCGACAAGCAGGAGCCACCTCCACCCGTCCCTGCCCCTGCCCGGCTGCCGTCCATTGCCTTGGCCACACACTTCACTGTAGAGCCAGCTAGTAGGGTGGCCCGGGTGTCAGGTGTCTGGGCATGGACTCCAGCTAGGTTCCAGAGCTCAGGCCTCTTCTTTCACTCCTGGACGTGTGGCCTCAGGCCTTTGGAGCAGGGATCTAGCTAGGAGAACTCAGAGCACAGAAAGGCCAGCATCTAGGGCAGGGATGGGACAGGGCAACCAGTTACCTATGGAAACAGCAGCCCCGTGTCATGTTGTCAGAAAGGACCATTCCCTGGAGAAAGGATATCATGCTTGGTAAGGTGGAGGGTCAACAAAAAGGGGAAGGCCCTCAACGAGATGGATCGAAACAGTGGCTGCAACGACAGGCTCAGGTATAGCAAGGACTGTGAGGCTGGCACAGGACCAGGCAGTGTTTGGTTCTATTGTACATAGGGTCGCTGTGAGTCGGAGCCAACTTGACGGCACCTAACAACAACAGTGTCAAAGGACATGGACTTTGGAGCCAAAAAAAGCATGGTCTGAATCCTGGCTCTGCTAATACCAGCTGTGTGAGCTTGGACAACTGTCATCATCTTGTAAAGCCTCATCTCATCTGTAAAATGGGAATAAAACCTGCATTGGGGTGTGGTGAGGGTTAAATGGGATGGCGTATGACATAGCAGGAGCTCTGGTGACATAGTGCCTAAGGCATCTGACTGCTAACTAGAAGGCTGACAGTTCAAAGCCACCAACCACTCCTCAGAAGGAAGACTGGACAATCTACTTCTGTAAAGATACAGCCTCAGACACCCAAAGAGGGGTTGCTCTGAGTCACATCGACTCGACGGCAGTGAGTTTGGGTTATTTGGGTTTTGTTGTTGTTGTTGTTGTTTGCCGTGGAGTCGGCCCCGACTCATAGCAACCCCTCCTTGGGTTTCCGAGGCAGTATCACTACGGAAGTAGGATTGCCCAACCTTCCTTCCGAGGAGTGGCTGGTGGGTTTGACTTAGGCACTATGCTACCAGAGCTATTTGGGTTTTAGTATCGTCCATTTGGTAAGCCTGTAGTACCGATCCCTCCTCTATGTCAGAGACTTGGAAAGGTGAAGGCCTGGTCTGTGTCTCTCTGGGGAGACGAGACCAACTTTCAGCTGAAACAATCAGGCAAGGTGTCCTGGAAGAGGGGAAGCGGTGAGTGGAGACTTTGGTGCTGAGGGAGCCAGGCCCTAGTGCCGAGCAAGTGTGCGGGGGAACAAATACAGATGGCGTGAGACAAAGACGAATCAGGGGCATGTAGAAAGGCAGGGGTGGGGCTCAAGAGAGGCAGTGGCCAGAGCCTGAAGGGCTGGCCACACCCCAGACCCTGTAATTCCACCCAAGTCTGGGTTATCTGGAGCAATGAGGAGATAGGGTCTTGGTAATGGGAGGCAGGAATCTGATCTTCCCTGGCCTCTCGGCTCACCTCCCTCCTCCCAGCCCTTTGGAGCGCTCCTTCTCAGCAGGCCTGACGGGGCCCAGAGCCCATCTCTGCCACCGCAAACCTGTCTGTCTCCTTCTCCTGCCAGGCCTCTCAGGGAACGCTGGCCCTGCTACCAGAGCCCCAGGAGCCCCCATGAGTGCTGGATAGCGAGCCCCGGCTGGTCCAGGGCTGGGCATCCACCATGCCGCCCATCCTCCAGCGCCTGCAGCAGGCCACCAAGACCATGAGCCGCAGGAAAATCCTGCTGCTGGTGCTAGGGTGCAGCACCATAAGCCTCCTCATCCACCAGGGGGCGCAGCTCAGCTGGTAAGGGGGCGGGGCCTTGGGGAGGGCGGTTCCCCAGGGGCTGGGCATCTGGGTTAGGACCAGACTGGGAGTTCTACTTCCGGTTCCTTCCACCTGCCAGAAGATTCCTCCTCTACGGGGCTTTGCTCGTTCCCTCGATTCTGAAAGACATTCTCTTTAAGGCAACACAACCCCTCTGGGCAGAAGTGGTCATCAATGCAAGGGGTGAATGACTTGCCCAGAGTCATAAAGCTCATTAGTGACAGCCGGGGCTAGAACACAGCAGGACGCTACCCGCTGAGCCACATCCCCTACACGCTGTGTGCGCCCCTCGCTCACCCGTCTCAGAGTGAAAGCCTTGCTGTCACCGTGCTAGGCACACCACCTCACTTCTGAGCCCTGGTTTCCTCATCCATAAAGGGAATGATGACACATGTGACCCAGGCTAGTCACCCTGATGCAGGATACCCGGTGATAACTAATGGGGACCCCTGGCCCCGCTCCTGACTCATTGTATGAACCCAACCAATCCTAGCACCTGGCTCCTCCCAGCATTTCTGTTTCCGCTGCCCCTGAGGGTGGTGTGAATGGGCCCAGGCTCCCCTGACCAGATGAATTGCTGGGCTGAGGCTAAGAGGCTAAAAGGACCTTACAAGTCACCTGTCAACCCAAACACCCTTGTTTCTGGAATAAATAAGGAAAGCCTCACCGGAGCTAGGATTACTCCTTGTTTTGCACAGCAGTGTTATCTCATAGGCTTTGAACAGTGCCTGACACACAGTAAATGCTCCACAAGTATCTGTTGAATGAATGAATGAGGCTCCAGAGGCCTTAACAGAATCCTAACAAAGGGGTTGCCTCAAAGCCCAGCGCCACCCACCTACAGGTGCAGGAGTAAAACCCGGCCAGAAGACAGAGCAGGAGGGGCAGGCTGCTCTATCAGAGTTGTTTCTCTTGGCCTCCTGGCCCTCGATTTTGACACCTGTAAAGGGAGATTCTTCGAGGATCTGCAAGGGCCTTTGTCCCTGATGTAGAAATAAAGAATAATTAATAAATAAATATTAATAAATTAATATGCTAATAAATAAATAAATATTAATAAATCACCCCCAAAACACAGCAGCTGAAAACAGCAAACACTTACTGTCTCACAGTCTCTGTGGGTCAGGACCCCAGTGGCGGCTTGGTTGGTGTTCAGGGTCTTTCAGGAAGTTGGAGCTGGCTGCTGGGGATACAGTCTCATGCGAAGGCTTGACTGGTAGGGCTCTGCTTCCACATTCACTGACAAGCATGCTTGCCCCAGTATGATCTATCCTGGAGAGAGAGACACCATAGTTTTTTTTACAAGGAAAATGACCTCTGCCCTATGCTACTCCTTAGAAGTCCAGCCCACACTCAAGGGAAGGGGATTACAGAAGGGTGTGAATACCAAGAGGCCAGCTAGGGATCTTAGGGGCTTATTTTATGGCTGCCTGCCATACCCCTCAACTGTTCTATGGGTAAAGCCCAAGACGGGCCAGTGTCACATGCCCCATACTTGGGGAGGGGTAGAGGTGAAGCTGCACCCCTTTCACACCCTCCTCTCAGCACACCCCCCTGGGCCCTGCAGGTACCCCAAGTTGTTCCCCCTGAGCTGCCCGCCACTGCGAGAGTCACCACCGCGCCCCAAGCACATGACCGTGGCCTTCCTGAAGACACACAAGACAGCGGGCACCACGGTACAGAACATTCTGTTCCGTTTTGCCGAGCGCCACAACCTGACGGTGGCCCTGCCGCACCCGAGCTGCGAGCACCAATTCTGCTACCCGCGCAACTTCTCGGCTCATTTCGTGCACCCAGCCACGCGGCCGCCGCACATGCTGGCCAGCCACTTGCGCTTCGACCGCGCAGAGCTCGCGCGCCTCATGCCACCAGGCACCGTCTACGTCACCATTCTGCGCGAGCCGGCAGCCATGTTCGAGTCGCTCTTCAGCTACTACAACCAGTACTGCCCAGCCTTCCGGCGCGTGCCCAACGCATCACTTGAGGCCTTCCTTCGCGCGCCCGAAGCCTACTACCGCGCCGGCGAGCACTTCGCCATGTTCGCGCACAACACGCTGGCCTACGATCTGGGCGGCGACAACGAGCGCAGCCCGCGCGACGATGCCGACTACCTCGCGGGGCTTATCCGCCAGGTGGAGGAGGTTTTCTCGCTCGTCATGATCGCCGAGTACTTTGACGAGTCGCTCGTGCTGCTACGGCGCCTTCTGGCCTGGGACCTGGACGACGTGCTGTACGCCAAGCTCAACGCACGCGCCGCCAGCTCGCGCCTGGCCGCCATTCCCGCAGCGCTGGCGCGGGCCGCGCGCACCTGGAACGCGCTGGACGCCAGCCTCTACGACCACTTCAACGCCACCTTCTGGCGCCGAGTGGCGAGCGCCGGCCGCGCGTGCGTAGAGCGCGAGGCGCGCGAGTTGCGCGCGGCCCGGGAGCGCTTGCTTCGACGCTGCTTCGGGGCGGAGCCGGTGCTTCGGCCCGCTGCGCAGATCCGCACCAAGCAGCTGCAGCCGTGGCAGCCTAGCCGCAAGGTAGACATCATGGGCTACGACCTGCCCAGCGGCGGCGCCGGCGCTGCTACCGAGGCCTGCCTCAAGTTGGCCATGCCCGAAGTCCAGTACTCCAACTATCTGCTGCGCAAACAGAAGCGCCGGGGCGGCGTGCGGGCTCGACCCGAGCCCGTGCTGGACAACCCCCCGCCTCGGCCCATCCGAGCGCTGCCCCGTGTCCCCCAGGGCCCCTGACCTCTGCCTGCCTCCGAAGCCTGGGGCCTGCCCTGCTCTCCCAGGAGCCAGCCTGGAGCTGCCTCGGCCCCTGCCCCATCACAGCCCTTTCTTCACGAGGGCCTTGATCCCCGTGCCGAATTTGGGGGTCGCCTCGCATACTGGCCCATCTCCCTGGGGTGGGCTGATCCCCGCCTTTGGGGAGGGTGCTGATAGGCCCGATCGAGCCCCGGGCCACTCCCTCCTTCCCAAATGGTTGGTGACTTGGACAAGAGGTCTGAGGCCTGTCCAGAACTGCCCACCCTGCCTTTTTCTGGGGTCTGCACTCTGCCCTAATCCGGGTCCTACCCGCACCTTGGAAGGGGATGCTGAACCTCACCTTTAGCCTGGCTTTTCCGAATGGAGGAGCCCGGGCCCCAGAGAGGGACTGAGCCCTGGGGAACACTGCCCTAGCCATCAACCTCCCTGGCTCTTGCCCTTCCTCCAGGGTTCCAGGGGCCCTCATTGTCTTCCAGATTCTACCTTCCCCACAGACCTGAGCTGCTTCCAGATCCGCAGAAGCAAGTGTTCTTGGGTTGGACTTTTTGTTTGGTTGGTTTTTCCTTTTGTAATAAAATACTTTGGAAATGTGCAAGTTGTGTGTCAGCCGCGGAAAGGCAGGTGCCGAGAAATCTGTGGCTGTGCTGAGGACAGGGGCAGCGCCCCATCAAGCTCTCCCGCTGCTCCCAGAGGCCCACAGCCCTCAGCAGCCCTTTGATCACCACACAGACAGGCCACCTCCACCCTCCTCTAGTGAAGGAATGGCCGCCTTTTCATTGACTTCAGCCAGATTTATCCAGCATGGTCTTTGTAAAGTAGGGACACAGGTCAACAAGGCAGATAGGACCCTTACCCCATGGAGCTCAAAAGGAATGCTGAAACAGGAGCAAGGCATGTCACCAAACCAGAGGGAGGGGATTAGAACAAAACTGTCCTTGGCCAGTGAGAAGGCGGGGACAAGGATCATTTTCAGCCAAGGAGGGGCTTAACTCAGAATTTCACTTCCTGTAGAGGAGCTCTGGTAGCATAGTGGCTAAAGCACTTGACTGCTAACCAAAAAGTTGGCTGTTCAAACCCACCAGCCACTCCTCGGAAGGTAGGAAGGTTGGGCAATCCTACTTCTGTAGTGATACTGCCTCGGAAACCCAAGGAGGGGTCACTATGAGTCGGGGCGACTCGACGGCACATTACAACAGCAACAACAACAGATCGATGAAGAGAGCCCTAGTGGTGCGGTGGTTAAGCACTCGGCTACTAGCCCAAAGGTCAGCAGCTCAAGCCCTCCAGCCACTCCATGGGAGAAAGATGAGGCAATCAGCTTCCACAAGATGACAGCCTTGGAAACTGTGGGGCAGTTCCACTCTGTCCTCTAAGGGTGCTGTGGGTCGGAATTGACTCCATAGCAGTGGGTTTGGTTTGGGCTTTGCTTCTGTAAAGATTGGCAGCTAGGCCATCCTGTGGGGCAGGTCTGCTCTGTCCTATAGGGTCCCTATGAGTCAGAATTCACTTGACTGGCAACAGGGTTTTTTTCAGTCACTACCACTGGCCTGCCTGCCCTACAAGGAGAAGACATCTGTGAGTCACCTGAAGACGGGTCCCTCCCACAAATCCCGCTTACACACCCAGGTACCTTTGTACATTGTGGAACCTTCCGTGGGAGATCGGCAGAGGATCAAGGCTTTCCTGATATTTTCAGAACTACCCAGATGTGATACACATCTGGACAAGGAATGAAGACATTGCTTGTTCACATGGTCCACTGTTTGGCAGCCACTATGCAAAGGGCTGTATATGCACCCGTAAGACGGGGGCCACTTGATAGGTGAGGGAGCTGCAGCTCAGGGTCACGCCACTCGAAGGTGGCCGTTAGGGTCTGAGCCCAGACAGTGCAGCTTCGAGTCTGTGCCCTGAAATGCTGTGCAGAGGCTCACATGCCCCACGCTAGACTGAGTCCCAGGACCTTTGCCCCAAAAGAATGCAAAATGAAGAAACCGAGACACTGCTCCTGGCCTGCCTTTGCCTTGTTTTTCACGGAGACAATGGCTGACCTGTTTGGGCAATGGGGGTTGCGGTGGCAGGTTGGCAGGTCGTGTGACACTCCAGGCTGGCAGAGGGGCTGTTTGTGGGGCACCTTGTTGTGACCAGCAGAGCTCTGAGAAAGGCAAAGGTAGCATGAAAAGGCCAGAGTTGGTCTTGGTGATAAGGAGTAGTGAAGAATTACAGTAGGCTATGATATACTGAAAGGAGCTCTAGTGGCATAGTGGATAAGGCATTTGGCTGCTAACCAGAAGGCTGGTGGTTCAAACCCACCAACCACTCCTCAGAAGGAAGACTGGACAATCTTCTGTAAAGATTTAAAAAGAAAACTCACTGCCGTGGAGTCAGATCCAACTCATAGTGCCCCTCCTTGGGTTTCTGAGATGGTGTCACTATGGAAGATTGCCCAATCTTCCTTCTAAGGAATGGCTGGTGGTTCCACTAGCTTTCTGGTTAGCAATCAAATGCCTTAGGCACTACGCCACCAGAGCTCCTAAAGTAGTACCCTTCCCATACCAGGAGTCAAACCTGGGCCTCCTGGGTAAAAACCAGGAATCCTAAACGCTAGACCATGTGGGAAGCTATATATTTTTTAATAACCCCAGTGGGGCCAATCTGGGGGCCTCACTAAACCATCCAATCGGTAGTACTGACAGGAGGTTTGTACAAAGGGCAGGGACTTAATCAACACAAGGTTAAGACCCGCACTTACTGGGAATTCCTCATTCATGGGGAATAATTGTAATCCCCAATCCCCATCACGAATGGGGTTCAATCCTGCCGGCGTAGAGTAGGCACACGCTAAGCCAGTCAGTATAGTGAGTGCAGCCCCAGACATCGAAGGGCATCACACACCTGTAATTGCTCAATCTCAGGTGGCTGAATGCCACTTGTCCCTCTAAGAAGCTGGGGGACACCAACTGCTCAGGGGTCACGTGACTAATTAGCATGCCAGAGTCTCATTCGTTATTAGAATTAACCAGACAAATCGCTCCACCAACTAAGAACAGCCATGCACCATCACACATAGAATTGCAAAAGAACTATCAATCTGTCAATCCTGTCTGTGTCCATGTAAAGATTTACAGCCTCAAGAAACCCAATGGGGGTCGCTATAAGTTGTCTATCCAAAGACAGGTGTCCTCTGGCCTCCAGGCCAAGAAGGCACCTGCCTGCCACTGCCCCTCTCTGTCTCCCTCTCCCTTGTCCTGGCCTCTGGCCATACCCTTCCTAAAACATCCTTTCCCCTGTCCTAGGTTCTCCTGCAAAACAGAGAAGCCCTTAACAACCACCTCTATGGACCTCACGGGCCTTCCCTGACTCCCAGGCAGCCGACCCTCCAGTCAAGGCTCACCCCACTTAATGCTAACAGCAAGCAGTTATGGAGCACTTACTGTGTGCCCAAGGAGCTCTGGTGGCTCAGTGCTTAAAGCATTCAGCTGCTAACCAAAAGATCAGCAGTGCGAACCTTCTAGCCCCTCTGGAGGAGAGAGATTTAGCCAGCCAGCTTCTGTGAAGATTGACAGCCTTGGGAACCCTGTGAGGCAGTTCTACTCTGTCCTCTAGGGGCGCTGTGAGTCGGAACGGACTCCATGGCAGTGGATTTATTTTGGTTGCACTCTGTGCCCAGCACTCCCTCAGTGCCTTATGTATTTTTAACTTCCCTGATTCTGACAACAGCCCTGGAGGCCAGTGTTATTCTTGTTCCCATTCTATAGAAGAGGAAACTGGTCCGCCCAGCTGAGAGAGGCTGAGCCCGGCAGAACCCAGGACTCTGAGCCCCAAGATCCAGCTCCGCCAAAGGAGTACACAAGGCCACTCCCCAGACACACCCCTGGGGGTCCTGCA